GATACATTTCTTTCGATATGAGTAATTTTTGTATCGATACTTTGTATTCGATATTTTACTCATATCGATACAAATATAAAGTATTGAATGGAATTTTATAATTTTATTGATATTATCAAATTATCACACCGAAATACGTTATCACGGTTACTACCGTACGTTAACAAATTAAATCATGGAAACAATCGACATTTTCGAGGTTAAAACTGAAACACTATTCGACTCGAAACACTATTCAGTATTCACTCGACTCAACACTCCGCAGTTCGCAGTTTCGCTTTTGCACATCGGCATCGCACACGGTACACCAGCACATTAACGTAATACGTAAACAATAAATGTTTTAAATGGTTGTGCAGTTGTGCTAGTGAGTATTGACTTAGTGTTGTGACTTGTAAATTATTGTGATATCTGCTACGTTTAAGAGAATTACATCGTTGATAGCTGTAGTAAGGTATTCATAGACATAGTTTATACTACGGAAAATATATAAAATAATCATTGTATGTTGTAAATATGTTCTAGTCATGGCACCTCCCAGAAGTAAAGTATGGATATGCTTCACTAAGCTCGATAGTACATTGGCTAAATGTAAATTGTGTTCAGTGGATGTAAAGTATTGTGGAAATACGTCGAATTTAATGAAACACCTTTTGAAACATCCAAATGTCCCAAAGTCAACTGAAGCGCTTAACAAATTTCTGAAAAATAATAGCAATACTCAAACTAGATTAACTAGTATTATGGGTCAAAGGTAATAATAAGCAATTTTAGATGTATTTAATAAATTACTATAATATCATTTCAATACAATGTACTGTTTAAATGTTAGCGTTCATCCCGTTCAGAGTACTTCGTTATCGATGACTATTCATCCATGTACTGCAGACGAACAAATAGAACAGGTAAAAATAATAGTGTTTATGATATTGTGTTTTAATTAACATAACGGGTGTTTATTCACATAGCAGGTAGATGATCCAGTTCCATACAATGATACAATAACAGTGTTAAGACAGCCAATTGTTGAATCGTTCAAAAGATTAAGTTCCTTTAAAGGTAAATAATACACATTTATATTATTTTAGGTAAAAAGATAATGTAACTTTTTTCAAACCAAAAAATTGTTTTTTCAACTATTTTAACTATACTTAAAGTAGGGGAAAATGTAAATTTAAAATTTATGTTTGTTATTTACACTAAATATCTTTTATTTTACTTCAGAGGGTGGGCTACTGCATTCAAGAACAACAATGACGTTACTATATTTCATTTGTAAAGATCGAAGACCATTTCACATAGTTCAAGGTGCAGGGTTCAAAAGATTAATGAAAGAACTAGTGCCTTCGTACAAGGTCCCATGTCCAGCCACCCTCAAAAAAGTACTCGATGATAAATATGAAATCACTAAAATATCATTTATACAAACACTAGAAGATGTACAACATATGTCATTGACTTTTGATGTCTGGAAAGAGACAATGACAGAAACTAGCTTCCTTGGTGTAACCGTTCACTTCCTAGAAAATACTGTACTTAAATCACAATGCTTGGCAGTCCGTGAATTAAAAGAGAGGCATACAGCTGAATATATTGAATGTATATTGAATAACATATTATTAAATTGGAATATTAACAAAGAAAAAATAGTAACCATCATAACAGATAACGGCGCTAATAT